TGAAGAGTCATGTCATCTATCGTTTATTTAACAACAGGATTTGAGAAAGGAAGAGATTAGCCTCCCAGTTCCATTCACTAGCAAGCACGTGGCTCAAAACGTTCTGGGTTTTGATTCCTCTTAACACTTCTGTGATGTCCTCGTTCATCATGAAGCTCCTCCATCTGTCGCTCTGTCGCTGAATATCTTACAAAGCAACGTTCCTTGCTAAAGAGTCCCTAGAAACAATAACAATTATAGCAAAGCAGGGATTCTGGGCTCATCGAGAGACACTATCGAGGTGGAGCAGAGGCATAGAATCAAAATCACGTGAAGTATTAGTACCGCTTTATAACACCATAGTAAGGCCACACCTGGAATACTGCATCCAGCTTTGGTCACCAAATTACAAAAAAGATGTTGAGACTTTGGAAAAAGTGCAGAGAAGAGCAACTAAGCTGATTAAAGGCCTGGAGACTAAAACATGTGAAGAACGGCTGCAGGACTTGGATATGGCTAGTCTAAAGAAAAGAAGAAACAGGGGCAACATGATAGCAGTTTTCCAGTATTTGAGGGGCTGCCACAAGGAAGAGGGGGTCAAATTATTCTCCAAAGCACCTAAAGGCAAGATAAGAAACAATGGATGGAAACTGATCAAGGAGAGAAGCAACCTAGAACTAAGGAGACATTTCCTAACAGTGAGGATCAATTAACCAGTGGAACTGCTGGCCTTCAGAAGTCATGGCTGCTCCATCACTGGAGGCTTTTAAGAAGAGACTGGACAGCCACTTCTCTGAAATGGGATAAGGTCTCCTGAGCAGGGGGCTGGACTAGAAGACCTCCAAAGTCCCTTCCAACTTTATTATTATGATGATGATCATCGCACAGCCAGCCAGATGGGGATTTGGCGTTTTGTCTACCTATTGAGTTATTATTATTATTATTATTGTTGTTGTTGTTGTTGTTGTTGTTGTTGTTGTTAAGAAGTCAAGGAGAGGCTTTCGGATTCCTTTCGACGTGCTTCCATTTGAAAATGAGAAAGTTATGTTGATCAATGCTAATTAGCTAATGCCTCCGTAGTCTTGGAGCTATCCTTCCTGGCATCTTAGAATATCTTCAGGTCATCCTCGACTTAACGACAGCTCAAAGTCACAACGGCACTGAAAAAAGTCACTTAGGACCGTTTTTCACTCTTAACGACCGTCCCAGCATCCCCAGGGTCACATGATCAAAATTCAGATGCTTGGCAACTGACTCGTACTTATGACGGTTGCCATGTCCCCAGAGTTACGTGATCCCCTTTGGCATTCTTCTGACAAGCCACGTCCAGGGGGGAGCCAGATTCACTTCACAACCAGGCTAGTAACTTATCAACTGCCGTGATTCACTTAGCCACCATGGCAAGAAATAGGAGCCAAATGCACTTAACACACCTCTCACTTAACAACAGAAAATTTGAGCTCCCTCGTGTTCATAAGTCAAGGACCACCTGTACATCTTTATACTGAATTTTAAAAAAATCAGTCTTTATATCTCCAGGACATTTTTTAAAAAAATAAATAAATAAATAGATTCATTACAACAATTGACAGGAGGGGAGGGGAAACTCACCCGTCAAATTCTATCTATTATGTTTCAATCAATCCTTCTGCTACTGAACTAATATCTAATTCAAGCGCCAGCAGAACCTGCTGCCTCCGAGCTGCAAAATCCTTGGGAAAAACGAAAAGATTATACAAGTACAGAATTCAATTTTTTTTAAAAAAATCAGTGGGCAAAGCTCCCCTAGGATGTAACATTAGCCGCCGCCCCCCACCCCATGCCTTCTTTTCTTTTAATTTTAAGGGTTCCTCAGGGGTCTTTTAAAAGAAAACAATGATAAAATGGAAGAAATAACATTCAAATGATCCCGCAAAATATATCCTTTTCCTCTCAGCTGAATGCACAATATGTTGAAATGTCTCAAATTCCCTCAAGCAGAAAAATCAGGTGAGTTTTCAGTTCTGGCAATCATTGAAGTTTTAACGCAATTATCCCAAGTTTTCACCTTTCCGTGCGACTCGCCGAGGGACCACAAACCAGAAGACAACATTTGTCTCATTTGTTCATCCTTAAGAAACTTCAGACTGAGTAACCTTTTTCACCTCTGGAGGGAAAAGCATATTCTGTTTTACAATCTAATATTATGATGGCTACGAAAGGAGGCCTACGCCATGCCCATTTTTTTTCCAGTCTTTCCCTCAAGTGGCTTGGAATGGGCCACTCCAGACTGAAAAATCAAGTTATTTGTACATAAAGAGGGTGCCACAACTTTAACAACAGTTAAAAATCAGTCTGCCACACACATTATTTTGTCTAAATTCATCTTTTCACCCCAGATCATTCGGGCTCTGCATTCAGCAGGATTAGCTCAGCATGTATTCCCAAGAATTTAAATCTGTGTTTCTCGACCTTGGCAACTTGAAGAGGTGTGGACTTCAACTCCCAGAATTCCCCAGCCAACAAGGCTGGCTGCAGAATTCTGGGAGTTGAGGTTCACTCATCTTCACGTTGGCAAGGTTGAGAAACACGGATTCCAAGGAGGAAGGAGATTACAAAATAATTAGACAAATATGGTTGGTCTGGTCAACTTAGAGTAGTTTGTCAGCAATGTTTAGGATTGGAGTCAATCAGAGTTGGAAGGGACCTCTTCTTAACAACCGCCAGTGATGGAGCACCCACAACTTCTGGAGGCAAGCAGTTCCACTGGTTAATTGTTCTCACTGTTAGGAAGTTTCTCCTTAGTTCTAGGTTGCTTCTTTCCTTGATTAGTTTCCCGAAGATCGCAAAAGGGGATCACATGACACCAGGACACTGTGACCGTCATAAATATGAGTCACCTGCAAAGCGTCTGAATTTTGATCACGTGACCTGGGGAGGCTGCAATGGTTGTAAGTGCAAAAAAAGGCCGTAAGTCACTTTTTTCAGTGCCGTTGTAACTTCAATCGGTCACTAAATGAATCGTAAGTCGAGGACTACCTGCAGCCGGATTTAGCGTAATGTGTGAACCGGACCAGGATTGCATCTGGAAGCTAAACCACAAATCCCAAAGTTGCAAATTCAAGAAGAGAAGATTGCTGGCCGGCCATTTCTGTGCTGCGGTTGAGAATTAAATATATATATATATATATATATATGAACTGTCTCCAAAGCCATCAGGAGTTGTGCTCCTATTATGTTTTGAGTTGACCAAAAATGAAAAGAAAAAAAAAAAGTTCCTATTGAAATGCAGAGCAAATTGGTTTTGTCTCATTCCTTCGCCCGGGCCATTCCAAAATATCTCCTGCTGCAGCCGTACAGTTAGTTCCTAGCACCTTTGGATTATAGGAAGTGATTTAAAAGAAAATTATACTGGTGGGGGGGGGAAAAAACACCTAAAAATTAAAGGCAGGAAGAGGCGATGCAGAGCAGGAGGTTCCTGCAAGAGGAATTGCTCTTGCGATGTTTTCGGTAACCTTTCAGTTTAACTCAAGTGACAAAAAACATCAAAAATTCCAGAATGCCTTCAGATATCTTGGAGCAAAATGTTTTCTGCACACATGGCTGCTCCCAGAAGGCAAAGGCCAAGCCTGCTGGGTGTAAGGGGGAAAAAATCCTCATTAACCATTGGCTCGCGGGATCGGGCAAAAGCTCTGGAATGAAATTTTGGGCAGGGGAAAAAAAAATGTAGGGTGCTAATATTCCACCGGCATGAGATTTAAAAGAAGCAGGAGGCTGCGATCGTTTGTGACATTCAGAACACGACAGAGTTGGAAGGGACCATGGAGGTCATCTAGTCCAGTGATGGCGAACCTTTTAGAGTCCGAGTGCCCAAACTGCAACCCAAAACCCACTTATGCATCGTCGAGTGCCGGGTGGGTGTGGCCCATTGGGTGGGCGTGGCTATGGTGATAACAGCAGACTGGGTGGGACTAAAAAGTTCAATTCCAACTTTGCAAGATTTTTTTTCCCGCGTGAAGTTGAAATTGACTGATTGATTGAACCTTTTTTTTTTTTTTGCACACGGCGGTGGAGGCCTAAGGCGAAAAGGTTTTATAAAACTCAGCTGAAAGCCTAGGACTGGGGCGACGGCGCATGCGCCTACAGAGAGGGCTCTGAGTGCCGCCTCTGGCACCCGTGCCATAGGTTCGCCACCACTGTTCTAGCCCAACCCCATGTTCGAGCAAGAGGCCCTATGCAGAGAGTCCTCGACTTCACGGCCACAGATTGAGGGCAAGGTTTCTGTTGCTAAGCGAGACAGCGGTTTAAGTGAATTTTGTCCTTTTCTTGACCTTTCTTGACCCGGTAGTTAATTGAATCGCTGCAGTTGTTAAGTAAGTGGCACGGTTGTTAAGTGAATCTAGCTTCTCTCTTGACTTTGCTTGTCAGAAGGTCACCCCCCCCCGAGGACGCTGCACCCGTCATAAACATGAGCCAGTTGCCAAGCGTCTGAATTTTGACCATGTGGATGCTGCAACGTGTGAAAAACAGTGATAAGTCACATTTTCAGTGCTGCTGTAACTTTGGACGGTCACTAACTGCAGTAAGTTGAGGACTACCTACCATTCCAGACAAACGGCTGCTGTGGCCATGGTGGAATGCTGGAAAATGAAGTCCACACATCTGGAGAGTAACTAGAATTCCCCAACCGGTGGATCGATGGATGTCTGTCAACCTTGGACCGTGGGATGAGTTCATGGTTTGGCCCAAAGTGTGAACTCATCCCATGGTCTTGAAAGATTCCAGCTGTCGTTATTCTGTTTGTGAACTTCTTGCTCGTGTGAGATGGCCACAACTGGTTTGGTGAGTCACTAAATCCATACTGGTTCTTCTTATGTTCTTCTGGAGGGGGGGGGAGAGAAACCCAACATGCCTCCAAACTAAAGCACTGCTGCATAATTATTCAGAAAAACACAGTTGCGGTGGCATCCACTGATTTTAATGTAAAGACTGTTTTAAGATTAAAAATAAAACAGCATGGCATTAACACCTGGGTCTCATTAATATGTATGCCAACCTGTTTCCAAGATAAAGAAATCCAAGTAACCCTGAAAACCACCACAGAGAGACACAGGCTCACCAATTCACACTGAGATTTTAATTTAACTTTAGACTGTAATTTGAGGTCCTTAAGTTCGGTGTCGTCCCTCCCCAAAATAGAAAAAAACACCCCCCACCAACCCAGTTATTCATGAAACCTTCACTTTGACTAATTTGAATAGCACTTTCTTAGAAGGGGGACGTCCACTATGAAAGACATATTCAGGGCCTGGAATATAAAAGATGAAAGGGAACTGGAAACGTGCCACCGAGAAGGATCTGTCAACGGTGCAACAGTGAGTGATGAGCCGAAGATCTGAGCACTTTCGTTGACTGGAGAAAAGCAAGCATTGGCATCAGAGAAGGGGTAGGAATGTAAAGTTGGCTCGTTGTAAATACTCACTGTTTTCCCCTCCCCACTACTTCCTGCACATGAGGACAGCAAATGAAGTGGTTTGCTCACCAGGAAAGCGTGCCTTGGGATTCCATACCATACAAGGCATACCCTGTACAAAAAAAGAGGAGAAGGTCAAAGAACATCATCAAAGACCCACTACAATAGCATCAAATAGCAATGGTTGAGGCAGGAGGAGGAGGAGGAGGAGGAGGAGGAGGAGGAGGAGGAGGAGGAGGAGGAGGAGGAGACGGAGACTTCCTATAATGATTTACACTAACCTTGGCAATTTTAAGACTTGTGGACTTCAGCTCCCAGAATTCTCCAGCTGATCATTGATAGCCTAATACGTGAGACCATGCCCACTGTTTGGCTAATAGCTTAGTTAAAATAAGAATAGAAATATGCACGGATTCTAGGATTGTCTCAGAGCTGACCCATTGCAGGTAGTCCTTGACTTATAACCATTTGTTTAATGACTGCTGGAAGTTACAACAGCACTGAAAAAAAAGGGACTTTATCAACTGGCCCTCACCCTTACAGCCCTTGCAGTATCCCCATGCTCGCATGGTCAAAATTGGGACTTAGCAAGTCTTTGGGATGGCTGTGGTATCCTGGGTCACGTGAGCACCATTTGCAACCTTCCCAGCTGGCTTCCAATAAGCCAGGGGTCCTCAAACCTAAGACTTGTGGACTTCAACTCCCAGAATTCCCCAGCCAGCCATGCTTTACAGCCCTCTCTAAGCAATTTTACAGTTTTAGCCTCTTGCCTCAACAATCCGGGTCATTTTACTGACCTTGGAAGGATGGAAGGCTGAGTCAACCGTGAGCTGATCAAGATTGAACTGCTGGCAATGGGCAGAGTTAGCAATAGCAATAGCACTTAGACTTATTTACTGCTTCACAGTGCTTTACAGTCCTCTCTAAGCACTGTACAGAATCAGCCTATCGCTCCCAACAATCTGAGTCTCATTTTTCTGACCTTGGAAGGATGGAAGGCGGAGTCAACCTCAAGCCGGTCAGGATCGAACTGCTGGCAGTGGGCAGAGTCAGCCTGCAATATTGCATCCTAACCACTGCACCGCCACGGCTCTCGAATCTCAGTCCTGTTGTAAGAATAAATAACATGGCATACACAACATTTTGGAACAATTGGCTGACAGATGCTGCCACTGAGCTCGCATAGAATGTTTGTTCTGTGTATTAATTAATTTCATTTTCCATGCCTTGGAGTAAAACGGGACCAAATTAACTATTAACTATTTGCTATTTGCATTCTGTTTAATCATAAGATGCCTCTGTTTCTCTCTCTCTTCAGCTTTCATTTCTGCCCTGCAACACTTTTTATGCTGCTTTGCTTGTCTGTTTTTAGTCGAAATGGCTGTACTGCAGCCCAAATAGTACAACTGACATTAAGGGGACCGGGTTATTTAAGCCTGATGGACAGGACATTATTCGAAGGCACGGCAATAAGTCAGCATTTTTAAATGTTTTGGCCCATCTTCCTCCTTTGCTTATAGCCACTAAATTCCAAGGGGAATTTCCACGAATAGCATCACTGAAAACTCAGACATGCCCATAAATGCCGAAAAAGAAAAAAAGAAAAACAAAAAGCAACGGAAACTTGAAACAAGGCATCATCAGCCAACCGTACCAACAAAGCATTTAAAAAAAAAAAAGTACTATATTTTCCCCCAAGGATGGATTGGATTCCAGTGCGTTTCCCAGATACTTAGCTTCGAAATTGCCCAGCTGCGGCGAAGCAGGCTCCCATTTTTATTTTGAAAGATGCAATTATAAAAGCCAACTCAGTCAAGCTGATGGGATGATGGCTTGCGTTGTCTGGGATGTTCTAGGATCATCTCCCTCAAGGGGACCGTCGTCGAAGAGATTGGGGTGAAGGTCGCAGATTGCAATTTGCACGAAGAGCTTTCCTCTCCATTTTTGTTGTTTGGGGGGGGGGTTTAGCACCAGGGGGGTTGCAGAGCAGATGCTGGTCTACCCATATGTTTCTGATTGATCTGCAGCAGAGTTTTGACTCCCGACCAAATTTAGGTGGATAAAATCCAACATTGGGAAAAGAACCCCAGAGAGCGTTTTTTTGTAGCTGAGACAAGTTCCCGAATGGAACACATATAGATAGGTCTTCAAGTTACAACTACTCTTTTAGTTTCCACATGAAGTTACATCAGCGCTGAGGGGGAAAAAACAATGACTTACAAAGGACCCTTATCATCGTCACAACAACCCCATGATCAAATTTCAAGCTTGTATTTACAACAGCTGCAATCTTCCAGGTCCGCCATTTTGGGACCTTCCCAGCCGGCTTCTAGCAAAGTCGATGGGAAAGCTGGCTTCGTTTAACGACCTCGTGATTCGCTTAACAACTGCAGTGATTCTCCACACCCATCTGCGCCACTCGGGCGACCCTGAGGACACAGACAAACCTCCAAGCGGTCTCAACGAGTCTCTAAAAAAAGGCAAATGACCAGCTATAAGGAGTATAAATCCTTCCATTCTCCACCATCCTAGTCAGAGCTGAAGAAGCTTCTTGGATGAGAAGCGAAACGTCTTCAAAGGAAAAACAAGAAAGTCCAATTGCCTCTTGAAAAAACACCTCTGGGGCATCCATGACCTGGGAGGACTGAGAATCTCCATAGACATTCTTGGTGAAGGTTTTCCTGGTGAAATGCTGCAAGCCTGAAGATGCACACCTATCTCATCTACAGATTTAAATCATTCACATTTTTGCGATCTAGATCTGGCTGTCCTCCTGTATTCCAAAAATCATCAAATGGGTTAATTTAGTGAGCCAGTCACAGGCCTGACGTGAACACAGCTACAGAGACAGACAGGGACCCACGTTCCCTTCTGCAAATACATGATAGCTATCAAATTCTTCTCTTTTTCTCCTCAAAAATAGCACTGAGAAATGTCCCGATCACACAATAATCCTCATTTTCTAATCGCCCTCGAAATTCTTTTATCTACCCTCCGTCTTCAAGAGCCTGGCAAACGCTTGCTCTTTTGGGCTCTTTTGAAGAAAGAAAAGAAAATCAAGAATATCCTATTATAGACCAGAGCTGGTATCCGGCTCTTGTGCTTAATACTTTCACAATCAAGGCTATTTCTAGTAGATACCCTAATATTACAGAACGTTCTATGTTCAGATTTTTGGACTGGTTCACACAATACCCTAAGCAACAAATTAATTCGCCTATTCTATTCTTAAACTCATTTTTTCAACCCTGTAATCCCTTAATTCAGTGTAGAGTTAGGGCAACTGAATGAATCTGAGTATTTACTGGCTGGATGCCCTTCCTGACACCTACATGGAGTTCACAGCAGACATTTTTTTCTTTGCGCCTGAGAAACTTCTGCTGCTACCTAGGATTGAACTCTCAACCTTCCGAGTGGGAGGAGAGCGTCTTCACCACTAGGCCACCCCACACCGCTTCTATTACACTCTTAAACATAGCTTGCTAAATATGATAGTCTGTTGAGCTCACATACTCAGCCAAGCCGTAATTTGCAAACCCCTGTAATTAAGTTACCACAATAAATTTAGCTAATGCCAAATAAACCACATTATGGTTTAGTGGGAGTGTACACCCTGGTCTCTCAGGTAGTTGTCTGGATCGATCTTAGGATGTTGACTGAGCCAAGCTAACCCACTGTAATTTATCCAATAAACTGAGATTAAATGAATTCTAGCACTGTCAAATGTGGTGCTCTAAGTCTTTGGGACTTCAGGAGCATCCCACTCTCTTCTTGGCAATAAGTCATCATCGTTTGAACTCTGAACATCCCAGGCTTGTCCATTTCATGTTGGTAGGAGGCGAAACTTTAGCATGATGAAGGCTTCAATGCTGTTTTCAGTTGCTTCTCCTCGGCAGCTCCAAATGCTTTGAGACGTTCAATCTGTCTCTCCATTTCGGCATAAGGCTGAGCAGTTGGTTCAAAATGCGCCAATGTTCTTCGTTCTTCTTCGTTTCTGGCTTCTGCTTAACTCTTCCACCTGTTGCCTTTTCGGCTTTTCAGCTGCGTTCGTTTCCTCAGAACACGGAGAGTTGTTTTTTTTAGGGACACCATTACAAGCCCAGAATCACAAGAGTGATCGCTAACTGGATCTAATTTTGGCTGCATTGCCACAATACCTTTAACCCAGAGGTTTTTTTTTTTTTTTTAAGAAAAAGGAAATGGAAAAAAACCAAGTGATGCCTTTGCACAACACACACTAAGTTGGATGTAACTTGTTTATTAGTGGCAGCTGTCTGAGTTGTGTGAAACTCAACCTGTTTCACTCTGTCTGCAGAATGTGGTCAAACGCAGTGTCCATTCGAAAATGGATAACGTTTCAATCACACCACGACAAGCCAGGACAAGAAGCAACGGATGGAAACTAACCAAGGAAAGAAGCAACCTAGAACTAAGGAGGAATTTCCTGACAGCAAGAACAATTGACCAGTGGAACAACCTGCCTCCAGAAGTTGTGGCTGCTCCATCACTGGAGGCTTTTAAGAAGAGACTGGACAGCCTTTTGTCTGGAATGGCAGAGGGTTTCCTTCCTGAGCAGGGGATTGGACTAGATGACCTCCAAGGTCTTTTCCAACTCTGTTATTCTATGTTCTGGTCCCACCTTCCCTTTGAACAAGTGTTTGCCAGCCATCTTGACATGCCCAGCAAAATGTACATCCTCAGGGCCCCATGACTGCTGTTTGCGCTGATCTCACAGTGAGACTTGGGGGCTCCCACATCCCGCCTCTCTGCCAGAGGTGCTCATTTGCAGCAAGCTGGGAAGATTACAATCTGTCATTTCTTGTCAGTTTTCCTTTTTTTTATTCTCTCTCTCTTTCTCTCTCTCCCCCTCCCTCCCTCCCTCCCTCCCTCCCTTTTAGGAGTGTCAAAGCAAGTCATTCATGTAGCTCATTTTTAGGAAATGTCATTTTGTACTGTCGATAAAAGAGCCAGCTTGCAGCCTCTCACCGAGCGGAGAGTCTGGGTGCAGCCACTCCTCCTCTGAGTTGGGGGCTTCGTTGGCTGCTTCTTATTTCCCCAAACATCTTGCATCGTATTTTATACGTCAGCAGGGCAAAAAAGAGAAAGAGAGCCCCTTTAGACTGTGAGCTCTACTACTGCATTAGGCAGGAAAATTGGTGGTGTGGCTATGGGCCAATCACCAGGAGACTGTGAGTTCTAGTCCTGCCTTAAGCATGAAAACGGGCTGGTTAACACTGCCCAGCGAAAAATACATAAATAAAGATCTTCCGTTCAAGATGGACCACGCATCTATGAAGTGTTATTCATCGTGAATGTGTTCCCCTAACGCAGTGATGGCGAACCTATGGCACGCGTGCCACAGGCGGCACTCGGAGCCTTCTCTTTGCGCACACGTGCCGTTGCCCCAGCCTTGCCTCCTCCTGTGACCCCCTCCTCACCAGCAGCCCCCCTGGAGGAGAGTCGCCTCCGAGCGTGGCTCACATGGAGCAGCGCAGCCAAGGACATGGCAGCCAGGCAGCGTAGACAAGACTCTGCCCTCATACCCCATCGTGCACAGCTGATGCTGCGGGGCGCAGGCAGAGGGCATGGCCGCAATGGCGCTGCTGGGCTGACTGGGCGATCTGCGGTGGGCCCCGGAGGTGGTGAGTGGCCCTGCGGGCAGGCAGGGTGGGGGTGGGGCAGGGGGTGGAGTGGGGGTGGGGCCAGTTTTTGGGCACTCAGTCTCTAAAAGGTTCGCCATCACTGCCCTAACGCGAGGCTGCTGCTTCAACTTGAGTCCCTAAATCAGTGGTTCTCAACCTGTGGGTCGGGACCCCATTTGGGGTCGAATGACCATTTCACGGGGGTCGCCAAACAACGCAGTCCGCCATTTTTTTCCCCCTTTCCTTAGCTGTGCTACTCCCTTTTATTCTATTGGCTTTTGAAAGCCAATAGAATAGACTCTCTTGAATAGAGTCTAATTCTATTGGCTTTCAAAAGCCAATAGGAATTGTCCAGGCTGTCTCTGCCCTGCTGAGCCCGCCAAAAGTCCCATTCTGCAAACGGTGCTGCACCAGTTGAGTAGTCCTCGACTTACGACCGGTTGGGGGTCGTGGCATTAAAAAGGTTGAGAACCACTGCCCTAAATAAAGTTTCCAGAGCATCAGAGGCCGAGTTCTCCCTTCAATCTGCCTCCAGAGCAAAGGCAGCAATTTTCCTCCACCTCTTTTAAGAAGCATTAAAAGAATTCTTCCGCACACGAAAAGCTAGTGACATCTTGTGGTGAGCTTCCTCCATCGCTTTCACAAACTCACGGCACTCCTTCTAAATACATTTTTAATTTAGGCCGCATCCACGGGATATATTGGATTACAGAGAAGCCAACCACATCTTTTATCATTCCAGTCCTTATGAATAATTTGTGGTTCCGTGCATTGCCTAAAAGGAGAAAATTGGCCTAATTCCATGGTTCAGTCAACCCTAGCTTAGCTTGTTGCGCAAACGTTGCTTCTGAGCCATCTTCTATAGATACAGAACACAGAATAATAAAGTTGAAAGGGACCCTGGAGGTCTTCTAGTCCAGCCCCCTGCATGTTGCCCTTATCCCCCCGCCCAAGAACAGCCATGACCTACCAATTTACCCAACAGGACTCACGCTTCGCCGTTTCTGGTGGACACCAGATGGGAGAAACCCCTTATGGTCCTCAAGCTTCAACCATCACCCCCAGACTCAGCCAGAAATGGCATGCCTTGGTTATCAAAAGTGTGGAGAAGTTCTTCCTGACACAGCAAAAATGTTGCGTCAACAAAGCGAGGACGCCTGGGTCTGTGTATAGATGCACATCCAAACGCACGTACATATTTCTCATTAATTTTGCCCCACTGGCTGAGCTCCCTCAAGGTTTCTTCACAAAATGTCACATTGCTTAAGGGGAGAAATCCCCCCCCCCATTGCTTCTGACAACTCTTCCACAATTAAGATTTTGAGTGGCAGAGAACTCTGTGGTGTGTGTGTGTGTGTGTGTGTGTGTGTGTGTGTGTGTGTCTTTGTCTCTCTGTGTCTTCTGTCTTTCTTTGTCTGTCTGTCTGTCTGTGTGTGTGTGTGTGTGTGTGTCTATCTGTCTGTGTGTGTGTGTGTGTCCTCTGTCTGTCTGTCTGTCTGTCTATCTCTGCCTCTGTCTCTGTCTCTGTCTGTCTGTCTGTCTCTCTCTCTCTCTCTCTCTCTCTCTGTGTGTGTGTGTGTGTGTGTGTGTATGTGTAAAATTTGTCGCTTGATTTATTGCTCCTCTGGTTCTCTGTCAGGCCTGCAAATGACCCGATTAATCAAGAATATGCTTATTCGGTCTGACAATATTCTTTCATGGGCTCTTTTGGGAAGGAGATATTTTGTTAAGTCTCCCCCTGGAACAGATGAGTATCTGACACTGGGTTTTTTGTGGGGGACCTGCATCAGGGCAACAGGAAGGGTACAAAAATGTCAGAATGGTGGGCATGACCAAGCAATTAAGACCTCTTTCCTTTTTAGTGCCATGCAAGTAAAAAAAGGGGGGCTATTTATTTATTTGTATCCCGCCTTCATTATTTTTTCCAAACCACTCAAGTGGTGAACATATCCAACATATCTTCTTTTTCCTATTTTCTCCACAATAACCCAAGCTGGCTTTCATGGCTAAGGTGGGACTAGAACTCATCATCTCCTGGTGATTGGCCCAAGGTCACCCAGCTGGCTTTCACAGCTAAGGTGGGACTAGAACTCACAATCTCCTGGTAATTGGCCCAAAGTCACCTGACTGGGTTTCTTGGCTAAGGAGGGACTAGAATTCACAGTCTCCTGGTGATTGGCCCAAAATTACTCAGTTGGCTTTCATGGCTAAGGCAGGACTAGAATTCCCAGTCTCTACCCTGGTGCCTTAACCACTGGTCCAAACTCTTTTTTCTGAGACATAGTGATGGCCACTACCTATCTGACCTTCTTTTTAGATTCCCCCCAGCTTAACCATTGCATATGTTTACATTTGTTAAGCTGTCTCAAGCCTACTTGAGCCAAAGGGCCCTAATTATATGTACACCAAATTCATACATGGTGCTAAGCCAAATTTGCAACTTCGTTGCTTTCCATTTACTTATTTCTTGCATTTATGTCCCATCTTTTCTGTTGAGAATTCAAGGCAGCCTCTTCACAGTGTGATTTGTAAGCCGCAATTGACAGCCTAATTGCAATGGGAAGTAATAGCCATCTTGGCTAGTCAATGAAGCCCAGTTAAACAAGCCACAGCTTAAACAAAGATGTCAAGCTCCCCAATTCTATGTAACGGAAGAGGCAAACCCAACCAATTTTCAACTATCTTTGATTCACTAGGTTTTCCAAAGATCAGATTTAAAAACAAACAAACCCAAATGCTCTAATGCCAGGCAATTGTTGCCAAACCAAGCAGAGATTTCACAACAAAAGCAACGTTTCACTTTTTCCTAATAATACAAGTCACAGATTAATAACAATGCGCTTCAGTTTAGCCCTTTTGCAGAACCCGCGGGGGGGGGGCAGCTTGTCAATCTATAAGGCTAAAATTACCCCTTTTGGGCCAGGTGTAGGGAAGGAAGAAATAAATCAAAGCTGCTTAATTGCTGAATATGACAACATTAAGGAGGGAGGCGACACAAATTATAATGGATGCTAATAACCAACAGGCCCTCAGGATATTTGACACAGCAAGTAACTGAAAGACACAGCGTGCACATCGCATCCAAAATGACCATCAGTGAAATGGTTTTAATGCATTTAACAGAATAACAGAGCTGGAAGACCCTTGGGGGTCTTCCTAGTCCAATCCCCTGCTCAGGCATTTGTTTATTAGCATTTATATACCACATGCTAACTAAGATGTTTTCATAAAATTTATATATCTCCATGCCATTTTTAGCAATCTTTCTTCTAGGACTTATATTATTGGAGTTAACAGTTACATAAAATAACTAAGGAACACAGAGGACAGAATCAAATCTATGTTACAGGAGTTCAAAGTTGCACTTTTCATTGCGAAAACAGCACACCGCTGGGAAGAAAGTGTGGCCCAATCTATAAACCTTGTAACATTGTCCCTTGCACAGGGAATCAAGTTTCATGTTTTTCCCAAAAATATGTGCAGGAAACTACAGCTGAATCAACTCTGAAAGCTGCCCCAGCAAGTATAGACTTCGAATGTTCTTTAATAAATCTACCCATGAGACCAAATTTAAAAAAAATAAATAAATAAACGAATTGACACACAGAGAAGCAAAGCTACCTTTGAAGGCAAGTTGAACGCACATACCTTCCAGATATTTTTTTGTGAAAAGTTGCTTCAGAAGTCCATTCTTTTCAACTCAACTGTAAAAGAAAAAAAAAAAAACCACAGTGCTAGGGGTATCACATAATCTTTGGTAGAAACTCTTCTATATTAATTATTCCAGGACCTATTAAATTGCTTTTATGGAGACTATAAATTAAAACTTTCCCTTTCTAGGGTGCAATATTTAAATCTAGTTAGTTCACTAAGCTGCTAAACACCATCATTGCACTTTCTCTCTCTCTCTCTCTCTCATCTCTCTCTCTTTCTCTGTGTCTCCCAGTTATTCATATTTTAAAGGATGTTTGGAGTACAATAACAAACTGATTTCAATTCAACATGAGCTGTCAGTAATGGGTTTAATTCATTGTTTTCCAGACGGGGAACCAAAGGAGTTGAGGTCTGCACATTTTAAAATTGCCAAGTTTGAAAAACACTGAGTTGAGTTTCATTGCTAAACTCAACAAATTTGATTCTATTTAATTCTAATTACTAATTGAGGGGAAAAAAAGCTTGATTCTGATAATATTGCCCATATCAGCCAGCAGAGGGAGCGAGGAATTCACATTTTAGCAATTGTTTTCCTCTGAAAACAACTAGACTGATCTTTGAATCCTCACGTTCTGTGTCAAAACCTCCAAAGTGCTTCAGATCACATTAAATCTCTTTGCAAAGGCTGGTCTAAAACATACTTTTTTTTTCTAGGCAAGAGAAGAAAGCCAGTCTGATCTTAGGAGGCTTCCTCAGAATTTTTCTGAGACGCTGGAAGGAAACTTAAGCAAAAGTCTGAAATTTTATGCCTTTTAAAAAAAACTGGCTCCCTAACTAGGCAAAGCAGTAAGCCACTTTTGAACCACAAGCCAACACACAAAAGCACAAGCAACTTTTGCTAGACATCTTGCAGAAACCTCTCCTAGGTTGAATCTATGCTTCAGCAGCTATATTCACACAACTTGCTTACTTCAATTATGCATTTCACTGACTTCCTCGGATCCCCCAAATAAGGATTAGCAAATACACATTAGTCACGAAGATTACCCTATTCAGGTCATTAGAAGAATTAAAATGACCACTAGAGGGCAGCTTTCTGAAACTTGGTGCGGCCACCTAGTGGCCGTCCATATCTTTGCAGGCAACTTTCAGACACTTGCATGCTGGCTGGGGAATTCTGGGAGTTGAAGTCCACCCTCTGCAAAGGGTCCGGTTTGTAATACACTGATTACAGTTCTTTTCTATAACCTGGTGTTACTTCGTTTTTATAGCCGCCCATCTGGCATACGTGAGTCTTAACACACACACAAACACACACACACACACAGACACTAGCGCTGCCCTGCGAATGCAATGTAGTCAATGCACAAACACACACACACACACACTAGCGCTGCCCTGCGAATGCAATGTGGCCAATGTTGCGCTAAGCAACACGCATAACCGATTGTGGTACAGTCCCAGCTGAAAAAAAAATGGAGTGAATTCATTCTGTTCACCATAACGCTGGTTTTGGGGAGGGGGCAACAGAGACGCCCCCCCCCCAAATCTACTTAGTTGCAAAGGAAAACTCTTTACCTCGCTTCTCTCCCCGGAGAAAAGCTGGCAGCCCCCCTTCCGTCGAGGGGGAAGGTGGAGCTTCCCACGTCGCAGGCAGACCCGGGAGGGGTTTGTCCTCCCCCCCCCCGACCGCCCTTGAGCTGCGAACGAGGGCTGATAAAACCCGGCGCGGGGCGCGGGGCGGCCAGTAGCCATGCAGAGCGCCGGTCCCGGCGGCGTCCCCGCCCTGCACCTGCTCACCACCTATTTCCTCGACAGCCTCCTTGGCGGGACCGGGGGTCGCGGTAAGTGGCAGGGTGGGGGGGCACCCAGAGCCCGCCCCCCCCACGAACTTTCCACGCGGGTGTGGGACCCCCACAGGCGGGCCGGGGGCGTCCGATGGAGTGGCACTCCGGAGGGCGGGCACGGAGTAAGGGGAGGGTCCCTAGCTGAGCGCGGGGATGGAAGTGCGCCGGGACGGACGGGTGGACCCAGCCGGGGCTGCTTCCACGCGCGTGCAGCTGCTTCTATTACTTCCACGCACGTGGCGGCTGCTTTCACTCCTTCCACGCGCGTGGCGGCTGCTTCTACTCCTTCCACGCGCGTGGCGGCTGGTTCCACTCCTTCCACGCGCGTGGCGGTTGCTTCCATTGCTTCCACGCGCGTGCAGCTGCTTCCACCCCTTCCACGCGCACGCAGCTGCTTTCACGCGCGTGGGTCGGTCCCGAAGGCCAGCCGGGACGTCTTGTCCGGGGCAAGTCTCGGGGAGGGGGGGGTTGGGTGCAGAAGGAGACCCCCGCTTTGCTTCCTCTCCGCAGCCGGCCGGGACGCCGTCTTGAAGGCCCAGCCTCCCGGAGCCCTGCATCAGGTACCGCGGGGGGAAGAGGAAGAAGCGGAGCCGCAGCAGCAGAAGAAGCCGGGCGGCCGCGCGGAAGAAAAGCAGCCGGGCGAGCGAGGGCTGGTTCCCGGGCCGGGAGTCCCATCCAGCGTCGGCGACCCCCCTGAGCCGCAGAAGCGCAAGCAGCGCCGCTACCGCACCACCTTCAGCCACGTCCAGCTGCAGGGCCTGGAGAGCGCCTTCCGGAAGTCCCACTACCCCGACGTCTTCACCAGGTGGGGGGCTGAGGAGGAGGACTGGTGGGTCCTTGGTGGTCTCTGAGCTTGGTGGTTTCTCGCAGACGTTTCATGACCAAATTAGGTAACATCATCAGGGGCAGGGGCAGGGGCGAGGAAGAAGGTGAAGGAGGAGGAGAACGAGAAGGAAGGAAGGAGGAGGAGGAGGAGGAGGAGGAGGAGGAGGAGGAGGAGGAGGAGGAGAAGAAGAAGAAGAAGAAGAAGAAGAAGAAGAAGAAGAAGAAGAAGAAGAAGAAGAAGAAGAAGAAGAAGAAGAAGAAGAAGAAGAAGAAGAAGAAGAAGAAGAAGAAGAAGAAGAAGAAGAAGAAGAAGAAGAAGAAGAAGAAGAAGAAGAAGAAGAAGAAGAAGAAGAAGAAGAAGAAGAAGAAGAAGAAGAAGAAGAAGAAGTTGGTTTTAACTCTTATTGTTCTTCAAACTTGGTCTCGGGGTTTGGATTGGGCTTTTGATATAAACTATGGTTAAACAAACCCGCTTGGTTATTAATCTAAGGGCATTGCCAGTTTATCTCCATAATGCTTGGGGGTTTCCTTTTACCTGTTGAATTCAGCACTGCAGCCTTTTGAGAAGTCTGAAAAACCCCAGATGTATCATTGGGTGGGATTTGGTGAGTCGTAAATTTGTCTCAATTTTAAGATGCGTTTGACTTTGTGTTGCAGGGAAGAACTTGCGATACAGTTAGACCTTACGGAAGCTCGAGTTCAAGTAAGTGACAGGTTCTGTTTAGATGTTTTCTTCTGGGTCCAGCATGAACTAAGGCAATGTTACTTATCCAGGGATCAAACACCAAAACTTCTGCTGGAATCCAAGGAGAATTATTTATTTATTGAACCCACTATTATCCTGCCACAGTTTTTTTTAAAAGACTCTTGATGGCTTCCATAGAATAAATAATACAGTTAAAAACATCCATAGTGCAATTTTAAATAGGAACAATAAGAATAAGCAACACTGTGCAAAAAAAACATACAGTAATAAGGTGGAGGATCTTAGATAGCATCTGTTATCTGTTGTAATGTTACTCTGACATTACAAAGGGGCTTCACTCCAAGGTTATGTCTCCCTTTCTAAATCCATGATCTTCTGAAAGTGTGTAAGACTCACAACCAGATTGAATAGGAAAGCTTAGCTTCATTTTTAGACACCTAGTGACAGAGACGCAGAAACAGTAGATTTTTCTTTCTTTTCTTGCTCTGCTTAGCTAGGCTGAAAATAGGAAAAGAAATAGGATTTCCAATTCATTCTCTCTTCCAAGCTTGGAAGAAGTAAGATACCCAGGAGAAAGAAATTTCAGCTTTGAACGAAATGCTGGCTCTTTAAAAGTCCTGGTTGAACTGGTTACCCAGACATACCCATCATTGCCAAGTAGCGGTGACACCAAGCTAATCACATTTAATGTTTAATGCATGCACGGAACATGTGAAACCCATCGGTGGGGCGGAAAAGCTTCCAAGAGGAGATAGCAATGGAAATGGCAGGTGATGGATTGAAGATTGCATCCTTTGTGGGTCAGAGAGGCGGATTCTCACAACTCTGCCTTTCTTCAAAGGTCTGGTTTCAGAACCGAAGGGCGAAGTGGAGGAAACGGGAAAAAGCAGAGATTCCAGGAGGCAGGGCTGGCATCTCTTGGACCCCACCTCTGGGCTTGTACTTGGACATCCCACTGAGCCAGACACCCCTCTTGGAGTCCACCTGGAGAGCGTTGCCCATTTCCACGGTTGCCGTGCCTCCTATGGCCCCAGCGTTCAGCCCAACAACTTTGACGCCCTTCAGCCTCGGTAGCTTTGCTTGGACGTCCCTTTTCCGAAATTCGATGTTAAGCCCTCAACTTGGAAGGTAACAGTTCCAGAAATGCACAGGTGACTTAACAAGGTTGTTAGATGCAGTGTGATTTTTCTCCTGGGGTTGGCTAGCCCCATTGATGCGAGTGGACTTGGCTGTGTGCTTAACTTCAGGCGTTGATAATAGTGGTGAGACATAATAAACCATCTGGACGCCAGCTAGAACAGGGGTCCTCCAGCTCTTGGTCTGTGGACTGGTATTGGGCCGCAGCATGCCAGCAACCGGTCCACACGAACAAGCAAAGCCCCATCCGTGGGATGCAGGCAGCACACAAAACCACACCCCCTCTAGTCCATGGAAAAACATCTCTCCACGGAACCGGTCCCTGGTGCCCAAAAGGTTGGGAACCTCTGAGCTAGAAAAAGGAAGGTTACTGAAATTAATTATCAATCGCTTCCCTTCTTCTGATAAATTTACATTTCTTTTGGTTTGTTTTCCTGGGCGGTCTTGATGCTGTTTTCGACAAGTATTTATTTATTGGCAAACTGCTTTAAACTGTTAATCTTGGGAATGTTGAAAAGCTGGGTAACACTTTTATTTAAAAAAAAAAATACCCATTCATTACCCATTCCAACATCAAACCACATTAACTGTCTAATCTAACCCGTCACTGTATTTACACTGTTTAACGGTCATTCCGCGATACAAAAAAAAAAAAAAAAGACGCTGAGGTCCTAGAAAGAGTGCAGAGAAGAGCATCAAAGATGATCAGGGGTCTGGAGGCTAAACCGTATGATGAACAGCTAGGGGAACTAGGCATGTGTAGCCTGATGAAGAGAAGGCTTCAGGGAGACCTTGATAGTATCTTCCAGTACTTGAAGGGCTGTCACAGAGAAGAGGGGATTGATTTATTCTCCATAGCAGGGGATTGGACTAGTCCAGGGGGTCCTCAACCTTGGCAACTTTAAGACTTGTGGACTTCAACTCCCAGAATTCCTCAGCCAGCTTTGAGGACCCCTGGACTACACAACCTCCAAGGTCCCTTCCAGCCTTTTCATTCCATGATTCAGAATATTATCATTATGGAATATTAATAGATAACAATTATTACACCGGGAATTGTAATAGGCGCTAAGAAAGCTTTGGAGACATATATAATCCACATTAAAATCTACGGAAGGCAGTGGAGTAGCTTCTAGACCAGTGGTTCTCAACCTGTGGGTCGGGACCCCATTTGGGGTCGAAAGACCATTTCACGGGGGTCGCCAAACAAGGCTGTCCGCCATTTTTTCCCCCTTTTCTTTGGCCACGCCCCTGGCACCTGGTGATGTACAAGTGGTTGGGGGTCACCACAACATGGGGAACTGTATTATGGGGTCGTGGCATTAGAAAGGTTGAGAACCACTGTTCTAGAACAATGCTGATGATCGGAAAAAGTTGGAGAAGTAGACTTCAGACTGGTCTTGTGTTCTGGTGCCTTCTGTGTCCTCCAAGAAATAAATCTTTCCCAAATTCCAGCTGTGGACCTCTTCTTTCTGTTCCTCCTCCTCATGAATACAGGTTTCTTAGTGCGTTAAATCCTTTGATGGCCACCACCTCAGTTCTAATGAAAGCTCCGGCCAACGCGGTGGTCACCACCTTCACCGATCCTCTCCTGGCTGAGACAAAACACTCATATCCGGCAGACCTGCGGATGAAAGGCAAAGACTGTTCTCCACAGATGCCTCCTTTGAACCTGACACTGAATCACAGGAATACTGAGAAGGTTCTTTACTAATGGGTCTTCAACCAGGGAAGGTTTTCTGTTGGCCAAGACGCATCAAGGTCTCTCCTAACACGGACACCCAGAAAGAGCATGGCTTTTACCCCTTGATCTAAGGTGTTGCCTTGTACAATTCATCTCTTTTCATGCCTGGATCGCTTCTTGAAGAAAGACTGGGTTTTTTTTATTTAAAAGGGGGAATGTGGGGGAGGGTATTCATTAAGAATTAACCCTGCCGTGGAAAGTCGGGGCTTAACAAAAAAAAAATCTTGCAAATGGGATGGGCCTTGTTTGTTAAGATTTTTTGGGAAAGTAGAACTTTGTTTCGTTTTGGAAACCAGGAAAACCCATGCTGAGCCCATCATGGATGGAAGCCACGTGCTCCAACAGATTCCTGTTTTGTAAGCGAGGAGCGTGGCCAATATTACTGTACCCAAGGAGAGTGTATGGCTGAAGCTGAGGAAATCTGTGGAAAAGGACCGAATTTCAACACAATGTTTTCATCCTAGTTGCAGTCATTTAAACCATTCGTTCAAATAAGTTCAGAGTCACGTTGCCTAAAATCCATTGGCTACAGTCTTGATTTTCTCAGTGTCAAACGCCCCAGATGATTGAGGGTTTGACTTGAGACAGACGATTGCTCTTCGGAATAACTATGAAATGTCTTCAAGTTAGCAGACAAAATTGGTTTGGATAAACATTGCGTCCGCAGCCTTTGGTGCACGATGCATGTAAAACAAATGGAATTTTTAGACCTGCGTTTTTTTTGTTTTTTTTTTAAAAAACATACCTTTCACGATTGTTACTTTGGCTACTAGGGCTTGGCATTAGGATTTCACAAGCAAGTATATGAGTGCTAGGTTGAATTCAACACATGTTGGATGCAATGAGATGAATAAAAGGAGAGGATTTTTTGCAAATTAATTTGGACAAATTAATTCAGAGGTGATGCCGGTCTGTACATTTTCTCTTTGAGATAAACTACACAAGGGAGTGATTGTTAAAACAAACCAGGGAAATGTTTTGCAATATTAAAAGCTTGAATGTGCTTATTATTATTTAAAGTGATGTATATAGTCAGCTCTAATGGCTCAGTTCATATATACCATATCTAATTATAATAGGAAGAAATAGCTCAGAAAATTATATTGGCCCATAACGGTATAGATTCTCCTGCTTGAGCAGGGGGCTGGACTAGAAGACCTCCAAGGTCCCTTCCAGCTCCTATTCTATTCTATTCTATTCTATTCTATTCTATTCTATTCTATTCTATTCTATGCTATGCTATGCTATGCTATGCCATGCCATGCCATGCCATGCCATGCCATTCTCTATTCTATTCCATTCCATTCTCTATTCTATGCTATTCCATTCCATTCTCTATTTTATTGTTCTGTTCTGTTCCGTTCCATTTTCTATTCTGTTCTATTCTATTCTATTCTATTCTATTCTATTCTATTCTATTCTATTCTATTCTAGCAAGTAGCACTGCCATTCAGAACAGGAGCAGAACTGACTCACTTATCCGTAGTAAAAGGTAATAACAACTTTAAATAACGATCTGGCACCACAAATAGTGACTTTTGAGTACTAGCTGATACCATGCACTCAATCATAATTGTTTTGACTTACTACATTTTGTATTTACCTAACCACTGTGATCTGTAAACTGGATTTTGACTTAACTTACTGTGCGAACTGGGCTGTTCTTTAATAAACCATGATAAAACAAACCAGCACAGTGTGATTTGTGTGCTTGTTTGGGCAGCCAATCTGCCTGCAGATAATTTCCTTTGGAAGCAGGCCATCCGCTCTCAACAGCAGCTATTTTAATCCACAGTCCATTCTCAAACTTTCTAGGTGCATCCACCAGGTTAAAAAAAAATGATGATCTGGCTTTGCTTTGCCGAAGACCAAATTGACATGATAAATAAAGGCTGCTAAACACCAGGAAACTTGATTTATAGTTCTTTGTAGGGATGAAGCTAGCTGAGTGACCTTGGGCCAGTCACTCCCTCTCAGCCCTAGGAAAGAGGCAATGGTGAGCCCTTTCTGAAAATGCAGGGACCCGTCAGCCTAATTGTCAGGAGTCAAAACTAACTCAAAGGGGTATATTATCAAAGAATGTCAATCTTGCCATCATAACTTTCCTAACTTAAATGTAACCAAGTGCCCAAACCCTTCTCACAGCCAATGGCAGGCTGAAAATGTACTTTTCTGTTAAGCGTCTTAAGAAGTACATCAATGGAGAAAGCCAGTGGTGTGCAATCCAGAATCCTATCTTTTCAACAACAAAAAAAAGCCCTTATCTTAACACACACAAAATCTCCCATGAATAGGTCACAGGTTTCCTTTCTAAAAGATATAATTCTTGGAATTAATAAAATATAATGCTGTACTAAATAAAGTTATTTGTGTAGAATCTCACAAACGGGTTGTGTTTGAAGAAGCGGTCATTGCAATCGCAAAAATCCACATACACTTGATATAAAAAGCTCGGGAGAGCTAGGCCCTTTGTAAAATGAACTGTGAACTTGAATGATCTTGAACAATTATAATTTAGTTAATGGGCGAGGTAATCCAGAGCATCCTGTTCTGCCAGCCTCTTCTAACATTGTAGTTGCATCTGTTTATTTTTTTTAGATTATTTTTTTTTTAAGACTTGGGGGAAACTCAAAATTAAAGATACCTCTCACCAAGGCAATTCCGATATCGCAGATTCCCTGCAAATAAAGCAGGTCAACGCACTAAGAAGAAGCAAAGTTCCTCTCTGGAAGCTCTAGCATCTTAGAATGAGTTAGGAACATCATCCTGGTAATAATAGACTAATATTCCTCCTTACTGCACCCTTCATCATTCACAGTTTTCACATCTGTAGAGACAAGATGGGGCTTGTAGCAACTACGAGTTGATTCTATTCGGAAAAAAAATAAATACTGCCGCTCAATCCTTCAGTGTTTTTCTCCACAATAGGCCTGTTCTGAGGACAGTTGATGGAAGAACTGTGTGGTGACAAGGGAGGGGTGGAAAAGAGAGAGAAATCTGCAAATAGCAACCCAGGTGGCTTGGAGGAAAGACAAAAGTCGCCCCCAGTCGGGCCTGCTGACTCACAAATCCGCATTCAGAAAGAAGTATTCATGAAGAAAATTAATTTAAGAAGTATGTGGCCCTGATTCTTTTCTAAGTCCTTTAAAAAAAAAAAAAGATCAGAGACTTCAGCTTCTTCTCTTTTTTTATTCTGGCAATCTCTTAAACAATTCACAGAGTAATTGGAAAAGGAGCATTAAGCTTTAGATACAGAGGGAGATAAAAGATTTCCCCCCCCCCCGCAAGAGTTTTTCTCCCCAAGTCTTGTGAATGGCAAAGACGCACCTGCCTTGGCAGCAAAGCCGTCGAGGATGTGGAAAAAGAGAAGGGGAAGAGAAAAAGCTGAGCACCCACCCCCCCTAGCTACAAAGCTCTGCAAAGCCCCTGAGCTGAGGGCTGAGTTCATGCGGCACGGTCACAACGCGGCAAAAGGCTCGTTCAACGCCCAAATATTGCAGGTCAATTTGGAACAGAGCAACGCTTTAAGGAAGGGATGGGGCTTCAGAAGTTGGAAGACTTTTGTTGGTGAGATTAATAAACCATTGGATCCGGTACAAAAAAATGTGGTGTGTTTTCCTTAGTACAAACTCCATACAAGGGAAGTGAATTCCAAAAACGAACACAAACTACCTATCCACACCAGTGTTTCTCAACTATTTATCCGTCCATTCATCCATTGATCTATCTGCATCATGTTTCCCAACTATTCATCCATCCATTTATTTACATTAGTATTTCCAAACTATTCATCCATCTATCCATTTATCTACACCAATCTTTCTCAACTATTCATCCATCCATCCATTTATCCATCTATCCATCCATTTATCTATCTACACCAGTGTTTCCCAACTATTCATCCATCTATCCTTCTATCAATTTATCTACACCAATGTTTCTCAACTATTCATCCATACACCCACCCATCCATCCATCCAACCATTCATCCATTTATCTACACCAGTGTTTCCCAATTATTCATCCATCTATCCATTTATCCATCCATCCATCCACCATTCATCTACACTAGTGTTTCTCAACTATTCATCCATCCATCCATTTATCCATCCATCCATCCATCTATCCACCCATATATCTATCTAAATCAGTGTTTCTCAACCCTCCAGCCATCACTCCATCCACCTACGCCAGTGTTTCTGGCTGGCTAGAAGGGACTGGGGCTTTGTTCTCTGTTTAGATATAAGCCCCTTCTAGCACTGATGATGTTACCTAGTTAGGTCATGAAACGCCTGCAAGAAAACAACCAAGCTCAGAGAGCATCAAGGAATTCACACTTTACCCTGAGCTACAAATGTTCTCTTCTATTGGTATTCAGCTTATCTCTTTGCAATCCAGTTCTCAAGATATTTCAAGGCAGAGGAAGAAATAGTTTTATCTGGTCCTTACTCTCATGCTAAGATATAGCCAAGAAATCAGTACAAAAGAAGGGAATAAAGCTAAGCGAGTATGAAATTGCAAGATTATATAGCAATGGATTAAACGCTAAATTCTTAGTGGTGGAAAAACATACAAAATGCCAGAAGACCCCTTAAATAAAAAGAAGAAACTGCTTTAAGCAAAGTACTGGGGCAAAACTCCTTGATGCATTGATACAGATGGAGGAAGGTGAAGGCGTCACATCTGTGCATAACTTTATAATCCTGGAAATCAACCACCCAGATATGTTATTGTGAACTAAAGCAGAAGACTGTAAGACAGTTGGAATTACAGACTCGTCTGGTTCAACAAAAGGGCTACTGGTAAAATGAAGGAAAGAATATGTTGCGTTTTGCAAGCGTCCAGTTTCAGCCACAGTCTTTTGACAAAAGTTGACTTTCACACCCAATTAACCCAAATAATGTCAGTTTTCTGGTTTCAGAGAAGCTGATCCGGACAACCCCTTTATCTGCAGACTCATTTTAGAGCTGACCAAAATCACAGGATTAATGTTGGGGGGGAGAAGAGAAGAAATGGCAGCATTATTTTGACTTTACAGAAGTCAGAATAAACTGACAAATAAACAACATATAGAAAAGGGAAACCCAGTAAGAATTGGAAGAACTGGGAATTGGCCAAGCAAATTCATCCAGAAAGCTCACCCTGCTTAACTTCTCAATCTATGTATCAGTTGCTAAAAGAAGAGTGTTTCTAGAAGGGAAGGGGAAGGGGAAGGGGAAGGGGAAGGGGAAGGGGAAGGGGAAGGGGAAGGGGAAGGAAGGAAGGAAGGAAGGAAGGAAGGAAGGAAGGAAGGAAGGAAGGAAGGAAGGAAGGAAGGAAGAAGAGGGGAGGGGAGGGGAGGGGAAGGGAAGGGCAAGGACAAGGTGATCTCCCAGCTAGCTGCACAAAGCCATCTGCCAATCAGGCTGTGAATATTCATTCTTCAAAACAATCATTTTAATGCAGGAAGATGGTTCCCCAAACTGCAAATGTGCCAAAGACTGCTGGAACACAAAGCATCCAACTCGAGCAGAGGAGAGGCTTTAAGTGGGGTGGAGAAGGAAATAAACCGCAACAAGCTAAACAAATTTTAGAATAATTTCACGAACAATTTCCCTTTGGGGGAGGATAAGGGAACTCAAAGACTACCTTGGAAGTCACTTTCAACTCCCAGCCCCCTTATTAGACCAAAAATTAGCCTCCAATCATCCATGAAAAAGGCAAGCCATTATCCGTTAGGAGAGCTGTCAAACTGACGAGGGAACAAAACATATCCAGGACATTTAGTACATAATCAAAGTAAACTTTTGCAGATCTAATGCATCTGTTCCTTTATCATCTGCGGCTCCAATGGGCCCACCTTGTCACCTAGGCGGAGATGGGGGAGAAAAGAAAAGAAAAAAAAAACCGCCAAAGAGATTGCCGTGTTATCTTTCCGCTCCGACTCAGGTACGAGCCGTTTAGTATTCCGTAATGGAGTTAGGAATAATTTACAGGGAGATAATTCTGCTGGGCCTGAAAGGGTCCGGCCTCCCATTGTGCAGGGATATAGAAGGAGCTGGCAAGGAAATGGGCCGTGATAATATTGCTCTTTAAGTAGAATCACAAAAATGGAAATTCAATAGGCAGGCATCGCAAAATGCAAAGCTCCCTGTTATCCGAACCTTTGATGTTTTCATAGCCGTTCACCGCACAAAAAGATTACATTAGCTCTTCAAGCTTATTTGGAAGACAACAAAAGTTT